AAATAGTTAATCAATCATATATGAATATTGAATTGATTTGATCATAAGTTAAATATTATTAAAATATCACTTTAAAACATTTTTCCCTGTATATTTTTTATGTTATAAAGCATGCTATGACTCAGGGACGGAGCCAACAAGGGAGGTGTGGTGTCAATTGACACCACTGAATCCCCCCCCCATAAGTAGGTATAATTTTTTTTCAAAATTCTAAAATGGACACCACTGAAAAATAAAAATTCTTTATATAGGTGTATATAATGTTTCATAAATTATAAATTGACACCACTCCAAAAGGATGTGGAAAATCTAGTGAACAACAATTACAACATTCTAAGAGAGCTCGTGTTGAAATTGATTTAGAAGCACTTCCGTTAGATCCCGGACAACGAAAAGGAATTTGTAATTATCATCCACATGATCAAGGTATAAAGGAAATATTTACATAATGACCCATGTCAACCATGGAACCATACTTTCCCCCCAAAAAACATAGGCAATGTTTTGCGTCAGTTTAACCGAAAGTGGATTGATGATTATGGGAATTGGTTAGAATATAGTATATCGAAAGATGCGGCATATTGCTTACATTGTAATCTTTTTAGACAAGACGTGGGAAAACAAAGTGGTGGTGAGGCATTTATAACGGAGGGTTTTTCTCATTGGAATAAGAAAGAGAGATTTAATATTCATATAGGACCTCCTAATAGTGCTCACAATGAAGCTGTGAAAAAGGTTTAGTGTTTAATGAATCAAAATCAACACATTCAATCAGTTTTGATTAAACAAACAAATCAAGCTTGAACTGCATATTGTACTAGATTGATGCTTCCATTGATTGTATTCAGCTCCTCTTGTGTCAAGGGCTAGCATTTCGAGGTTGTGATGAATCAGAAGAGTCAAGGAACCAAGGGATTTTTTTTGAACTGCTAACTTTTCTACCAATCATAATGAAGATATTCATAATGTTGTTTTGAATGATGCTCCCAAAAATTTGAAGATGACGGTTCTTGATATTCAAAATGACATTATAATGAGTTTCTGAAATATACTGTGCTCTTTAACTACGCAGTTATCGTCAAAAATTCATTTGACTGCCTTCCTGATTGAATTTTTAGCTGAAATTTGGTATGGGCAAACTAGATTCAATGAAGAAGATGCTGAGAAAATTTCATCAATAAATTCCACTGGGAACCGCCCCAAATGGGGACGTCCGGACAGAGCCTCCTATATAAGAGGCTGATTTGCACTTTTTAAGTTAGTTGGGATTATTATTTAAGGAAAAATTGATATTAATAATCCCAACTATTGGCGGTCCACTCATAATAATCTCAACTATCAATTATTTCAGAATAATCCCAATTATAGGGACCTTCCGCCAATAATGGTCCCTATAAATAAATTATTGTAGTTTTTAAAGTGGATGAAAAGAGATATAGCAAGTAATCCCTATAAATAATCCCAACTTTTAATTTTTATGCTTAATTTCTATTTAAAAATCACTTGTTATAGGAGGTAATATATGGTCATGGACCATTATTGGCGGATGGTCCATATGGTTGGGATTATACAAAAATAATCAATAGTTGGGATTATTGTCAGCGGATCGGCAATAGTTGGGATTATTATTTTCAATTTTTCCTTTATTTATTTAATTGACTTCTTTAGTGAATTTTAATCTGAATTTTTATTGATGTAATCTACACTTCACGAATAACATTCTCTAAAAACTTCATCAAAAAGTTCCGCCGAGTACAAATGGTGGTGACCGGATAGAGGATCCTATCTGGATAGCTACACAAAATCTTTTTCATATACATATACTTCGTAAATATATTGTTCTAAAACCAGCCTAGTCAGACCGATTAATCGGCCTAGTCCAACCGATTAATCGACCTAGTCATCCCTAACCGTAGAGAGTTAATTAGTCGGTCCATTGACTAAAAAGTCGGTTTAAAAATCGGACTAATCGGTTGTTTAGGCACTAGGCTGTCCTCGACCGCTCGACACGGTGTAACGAATTTTAGAAGAATGTGTGTGCATAATTACACACAATAATTGATCGAATTCTGATCGGCCAGCAAAAAAAATTACTAATGGGTCTAAATCTGATTAGTAAATTTGAGAAAAGAAAATCAGAATAATGAATTATCATAATAACTCGCATAAAAGTCCTCCGAAGTCCGAATTGAACTTAATGACTTATGGTGAAGGTATGAAGGACCCATCTGTCACATAGGATAACGTGCTCATCTAATGAGCACGTAACGGGCTCGTTAAATTTTCTCGCTCTTAACGTTTAAATTATTATGATTATAAAGATTCTAACGTCAACGTTAGTTGCTATATTTGTCAACGCCCTGGCTCTCAAACCGCTACTCCGTATTATATTTGGGTTTGATGGTTTAATTAATACCGCGTAATAATTAAGGGCAATTCTAAATACAGTCCCTATTTTATTAAACACAGCCCCATATATATAAAATACCTATTATACCCCTATCGTTCCCCCATCATCTTATTGTCGTCTTTCCCATTTGTTGTCCCACCGTCATCTTATTTTGCCGTCTAAGGCTCTCCTATAACCCTCTCACCATCTCAATTGACCAGATGTAATTGAAGCAGAAACTCATTCCAAACTATTGTTGTTGCTAATTCATCTAGCTCATTTGTTTCAATACGTAGGAATAAAAAAATGCTTTTCGTATTGATAGCATCTTAGATAAAGCATGACCAATGCTTTACACACACGCATCTTAGATTTGACTGTAATGTCAGAGGAGTCTTTGTGTGGCGGAGCAATAACAATTAACAAAGCAGTTACGGAGTCTACTTCAATTTTACGTCTCCCTAGTCCCTCCATTCCACCACCGTCACCGCCGCCCGAACCTCTGTAACCACCTTCACGGTAACCATCTTCATAACCTCCGCCTCCTTCATGACGTCCACTACCATAGCCTCCACCTCTTCAGCCCCCACCTCCTCTCGTCCTCCATAGGATTGAAACTCGTTCAAGAGGTTATATTCCCTTCAGAAGATATACACATATACAGATCATTTCCGTATCAATTGAAGGAAATCAAGGAATGTCAAATAATTTCTTTTGATTTAATTTCCCCTTACCACCGTTCTTCTCATCTGCGCTTCATTTCATTTTGTTTTTGAAAGTTTATGTTGATAAATATATTGTTTCTGTCATATGAGAGGTAACGAGTATAAACTGGAGCAAAAAATTGTTCCTAAATTCCTAAGTGTGTAGATCTGCACTTGATGTCGTATTCAAGAAGATCGGATGAAAGAGGGGTTAATTTAATTCAAAGGCTAATATAGGCATTTAAAAAAATTACTTACGTGGGGGGCTGTCAATAGTCATATATGGGCTGCAAATAGAATTTCCCAATAATTAAACGTTGAAGGTAGCTAGACATTTGATCAAGGGTGATTAAGGCCCACCTCATTGATGCAATCACTTTTTTTGTAGGATGAGCTGAGTTTGGTACTTAAAAGTTAAAACGGATTAAATACTCCGTATGTGTTAAATTACCATTGTAATTAAATGATTGAATCAAGTGTGGGTTTGGTGAACATTGTCATTTGTATGGATTTGGTTAACATTGTCATTTGTATTATGTGTCATTGTCAAATAAAAAGAAAAATTATGTGATCGGGGCGTCTTGAGGGTTGTATAGAAAAAGAGAGAAATAAGCATAATAAAAAATTTGTTTTAAGGAAATGTTATAAATTTTTTAGACAAACAAAAATGAAAGTTCACAAAAATTGATGAGACAGAGATCGAGATCATATATTTTTAGTAAAATAATAGGTAAAATTTACGAAATATGAGTAAAGAAATTTGAAATTTTCAAAATAGAACTGTCATATTTTTATTCCAAAAATATGAGTAATTATTATCAAAATTGGGAAATACTATCATGTTTAAAGTATGATACCACCAAAACATGACATTAGTTAGTCCTATTTTGATAATAAAAATATGATTGTCATATTATTGAATATACGAATCTACGTTTTTGTCTTATTTTTGATAATTTCCCAAAGGTTTATCATCATTACATTTTCAATTTTATTAAAATTTTAAAGTCTAGCTCGAATTGAAACGACTTGGCAATCTCATCTGATTTGAACACTTGAATTGGCTTGTAATGTCTAGCACGTAGTATTAGATATACTACATACTATCGTATTTTATCATATTTAGGATGTTTCCTTCTGGACTATTTTCAGTCCCGGACCAGATTAAACCAGACCAGACCAGACCAGATCAGACCAAACTTCTGTATTTATAAAACACACAGGGACCAAACTTTTACCACACCAGACAAGACCAGTTCAGACTAGATTAGACCGGCAAATTTTAGTCTAAAAGAAAACATCCTTAATAACTTATACGGAGTATCGATTAACTTTTGCAAATCAAATTGAGACGCAAAGAGCATTATATTATCTAAAGACATTTGGTTTATATTGTCACATAAATAAGCTCCGAAAAAGTACAACCACGCCTCGCATATATCTTTGAACATGTATGCACGTCCAATTAGTTATGTGTATGTAGACAAAACATTCAATTTGTTTTTACACAGATAAAAAAGGCATGTACAAATCATGTATAAATAGCATTTACAAAAATAATTTCCCATAAAAATATACTGAAACAAGATCAATTGACTTGCAATAGAAATGTTTACATAAACCTGATCTGTAACATGTAGAAACCTAAACCTGAGGCTATCAAACCAGTCACATTTTCAACATGTTTATTCATCATGACTGTCTGCTCTCAAGTTTCAACTTATTCGGCTATCTCATAAATTCAACGCACAGCTTCGAAAGGTCAACGTTCTTTATTCTTATCCTGCTAGAAATTTCCATGTATCCCCTTATGGATAATCACATGATTAATTGACCTTAATTTTACATCTCCTGGATCCACTATAAATACGTCTAAGCTCCTAGGATTAGAATATCATAATCGGAAGTAATAATTAAACTAAATTCAAAGCGCAGAAATGGAAGGATTAATCCCTTATCTGATCCACGCAATCAAGAAGCAAAGGCCCAATCATCAGACCTTCGGCCGGCGCCTCTCCGACGCCTCTAACCGGAGCTACCACTTGCTGATCGGAGCTGAATCCGGCGACGGATCTTCTCATCGGAGATCCCTGCTCTCCGACGAGCGCTCTCCCAGGAAAGATATGAGCTTCAGCAACAGAGCTGCAAGTTCGATGCTTTTTAATGCCGCCGCCGCTGCAAAAGCAAGTGGCCATCAAGCTTCGCTGTCTCTGACCACCACCGTCAATCGCCGGCGATAAAATGAAAGATTCCGGCAATACGCAACTCCAACACCGCCATACCTTCCAGTGTTAAATGAATTAATAAAACAATGTTACAACTTACAGTAATATGAAGTTTTACTGTTGCTCTGTAGCTGTTCAATTTCAAGTAATCAAGTGTATATACTGTGTATGCATTGATTTTTTTATTCAAATTCAAGATGTTTAATCATTTTTTGTTTTTATTTATTTTGGTGAGATGAGATGGCCTAATCAGATCAAGTGGCAAAATTATATGTATAATACTATAATGCTGAATTTATTTATTTGATGCTCTTTTATTTTTTAAATTGTGTATAGGAATCTAAATTGGATTGGGCAGAAAAGTAATTATATTAAGTTTAAATACTAACGTGGTGTGCTAAATATGAAAAATAAAAAACAAAGTACAGTAAAGAATAATTGAGGAAAATTAAGTTATATATATGGATTTCAGCCCACCGTAATACATGTTGAAAGAATGACATCAATATTAGTTGTCAAGTTCTCTTGGAAAAAAATATACCACTTTTAAAAATTCCCCAAAAGTGACCGGCACAAGCTCTTTCACGCCAACTTATGCGTTCATCTTCCGCAAATGCTCCAGCGCTGAAGACACCGGATCTCCCCCGTTCGCCGATTTCGGGCCGCCTCACAACTTTAGCAGGTCATCTCGTCCACCATCTCCACCCCTTCGCGCAGGTCCATCCTTCTCTTCTACTCTTCTCTGCTCTCATTCTCTGCTCCAGTGAACGCAGAGCCTCCATTGACGTTGGTTGATAAGTCCGCTCAAGTTCTGCCGCTGCTGTGAAACTGTGGAGAGAATCCAGATCTGGAGGCTAGGCTCCCAATTTGGGCGGTGCCCCAGTACGGATGTTGTACCATTTTTGAATCAGATACATTTAACTACTAGGTTCGATTGGTGAGTCTTTGTGGGCGGCCGCACATTCATCGGAGGGTGGAGGAGGAGGCCATCGCCGGGACGATGGCGCCTCCGTGATGACGATTTTCATTGGCGGTAGTGGTCATGGGCTGAGGTTGCTGGCGGTGGTGGTCAATGGGGTGATGGTCAAAGGTGGTAGTCAGGGGCGGTGGATGTTGGCAGTGACGCAGTGAGTCAGCGGAGGTGGTGGCCGGAGATGGTGGCCGGCGGTGGCTGGACTTGTACAGGGATCGTGGATGACTGGATGGGATGGGAAGGAGGGCTAGAGGGGGAGGGCGGGCGGCCAGCCGACAAGGAGACAGTGGTGAAGTTATTGTGGCGGTGCCATTGTGATCGGAATCGCGTGTCACTGGGGTTGTGTCACTATGGCGGCTACGGCGGCGATTGACAGGTGTCGGCGGCAGCATTGATATGGTCGTGGTGACATCCGATAGTGACATGATAGTGGTGTGACATCCGATAGTGACATGAACTGGAGCAGTGACATGAATTTCTGATTGTCACTTTACTGTAGTCACTTTTTTTTTGTCTAAATGTAAAAGCGATCACTTTTTCGAAAATCATCTTTAAATTGGTAGTATTGAGGAAAAAACCCGATACATGTTTAAGCTTAACTATGTAAATAATATTCAGAAATTGCCCTAAATAGGAGTAAAAACGTTTTGAAATTCCAAAATATGACTATTATGTTTTTTATTCCCTGAATAGGAGTAATCTATCAAGTTTGAAAAAATGTCATGTTTAAAGTCTAGTAATGCCAAATTTGGCAGAAATTTACTCCTATTCAGAGAATAAAAAACATGATAGTCCTATTTTGGAATTTCAAAACGTTTTTAGCTTATTTAGAGAATTTTCTCAATAATATTTTATGTCGGACTCGATGGATTTGAGAAAACATTTAGAGCTTATTTGGTGACTCTGTTTTGCGACTTATCAACCAACTTTTAATCAAACACGTAAATTTTTGATTTCACGCGCTGAATTGTGTGAAATTACTTTTCTAGTTGTATGGGGCCTATGGGCTGAAGTTACTGCTGATGACCATTTTAACAATTGTTTCGTATAATTTTTTCTTTATTGTGTTCATAAGATAGGTTTTAAATATAATTTTTTCATAAATCAGCAGAATCAATTAATCAGTCACTTTAGGCAAAACTTCATAAATTTCAGCAAATCAGTCGATTCAGCCAATTTTAGTGTTACCAAACGAGTTCTCAACTTTTATTATTCTAAATAGAAAGATCACCGGATGTACACACGCATTATTATTTCAAGAATACTCTGATTCACACGCAATCATCATCTATATACTCAAAAAATTCTTATTGTTTTTTATTGTTTCTTTAATTGTTTCACGAATGCACGTTACCCAGATTATTTATTTGATCATATCTGTATATACAAATCTTTAGCTTAAACATTATACAAACGTTCAAAATGATATTCAAAGACTGTCTTCTTTGTGTAAATTCATACGTAGTATAGCAATTGAGTAGCCACACGACAAAAAATGGAAATGAGCAATTAGAAGAGAACTTAGCTACAAGGTGTAGTAATAAGAGAGGAGCATTTGCTGAGGCTGTTATCATGAGATATGTCTCACGCTTAGGAAAATATATATAATGGAGCACCTCGTCATCGTAGGTTTTGCGATTCTATATTTATTACTTTCCACTTATTGTTTACTTAAGTGCATTTTTACAAAATTTTTAAGGGTTTGTTGTGATGAACTGATATAGGGTGATGGAGTGAAAGACTATGGAGGGCAATGCATTTGACATTTTATAAGCAATAAAAATACAAACATAATATGTCATCATTTAACGTTTCAATCTTCTTTTCTTTGATTTTACAAAACACAAGTATCTTTTTATCAAGATATGGATTGAGCCCTCCCAAGTATTCCCCTGCTAACCACTCCAAAACCATCCATTTATACACACCCTAACCAATTTCTCTAGATATAACTGGACTCTACCTTATAGTCACTCTGTGCTAAAAGGTCGGATGCAAAATGGCCTGCAAATTTTGTGCAACTTCCATTTTGTGCAACTGGAAGCATGGGATTTAAAACTGATCTTTCATCCCGAGAGATAGTTGATCGAGCAGTTGGTGCATGCATGCTTCTCGTGTGTTATCCATACTCTATGTTGTTTCCATTGCTTATCTTCATGCTATTTTCTTTTGGGGAGGAGGGGGGGGGGGGGGGGGGGAGGGGGTTTGAAGTTTGAATAGCACATGATTATTTGTATATCAACTTAATTGCTGGCCGGATTAGGGAATGGGAGAGAACCTTTAAACAATTACTCTGCCCCTGTAGAGGCTTAAGGCTATCCATGTTATGATGTCTTAGCTTCTCCATTTCGCTTATCGGTTTCTACGGTACGCAGAGCGGCCAATATCTTAAACCAATGTATGCTCCCAGATTTTGATTTAAACTTATTTGTTAAAAGCTGTTGTACACTTTAATTAAATATCCTGGACCGACATTGTTTTGCTGGGAAATACAGAAGAAAGGAAGTAGAAAAAGAAGAAGAGAAATAGCAGTTTTCAATAAAGCATTTTCAAAATTTCAGGCCATTTTTTGTTATTTTCTCATACCAAACAACACCTAGTAATTACAATTTTTCTCTCTTCTCCACCTCATTCTCACGCATTTCTCTCTTCTTCATTTCCTCCCAAAACCAAACAAAGGATTAGTTGAGAGTTGAGATGTGATATAGCAATAAGACAAAAGAGTTGTTTGGATGTTATATTACAATGGAATCATCCATGCCATTAGCAAGGTCCATACGGTTTTCCAAATAACCTAGCTGGGTCCTTTATGCACCAGTTCACGACATCCGTTGTCTGATAATGCCTTTTTGGACACACTAATGAATGCATTGCGAGCCTATCAAAAGAAAAGGTGTTTTATTTATCTATCCTCCCTTATTTATGTTGGAAAATTATTTAGTATTTCAAATAAACAAAATAAGTTTTAAATGGTTATATATATAATATATATATTTAATAGATATATTGAACTATTATGTACACTTGACATATTAGATCAGCCTGCGTTGACCATGTTGTACTCGCCCCAGTTGACCTTGGAGTTACACATGCCTACGTGGGAACTTCCAGTATTCTCTAGAAGCTTCATAGTCTGTTAGTCGTTCAGTTAGTTAGAAGTAGTTTCTGATATTTATCAGCTGTATACTATAAATAGCTTCGCTGTCTCTGACCACCACCGTCAATCGCCGGCGATAAAATGAAAGATTCCGACAAGACTTAACTCCAATCACCACAGTACCTTCTGGGGTTAAATGAATTAATAAAACAATGTCACAGTAATATGGTGTTTTACTGTAATACTACGTACTCTGTAACTGTTCAATTTCAAGTGTATATATTGATTTTTTTATTCAATTTCAGGTTGTTTTATCAATTTTATTTTTATTTATTTTGGTGAGATGAGATGACCTAATCAGATCAACTCACAAATTTATATGTATAACATACTGAATTCTTGATTTATATGTACACCAGTTATCCGTTGCTTGAACAAGTTTTCACCAAGGATTGTAGTTTTCAATTCCAAGTATTTGATGCTCTGTAATTCAGATTTAGGAATCTGAATTGGACTGAGCTCAAAAGTAATTGATTACGTTTAAATATGTTTAAGCTAATCTATGTAAATAATATTTTATGCCGGACTCGATGGATTTGACAAAACATTCAAATTTTGTTATTCTAAATAGAAAGATAGTGCATAGGAGTAAAAGATGAGATAAATGCAAAAACAGGACTTATTGTTTTAAATTTCCTAAATAGGACTAAATATTTGTGTTTGGACAAAAATAGCCTTAATGAATTGCCGTTCCCATCGTCGTAACATCATTTGCGCATCGCATCCATCATCCAAGTATGTGCTAAAATAATCAAATCTGTCGTAACTTCATCCGCACATTGCAACCATCCTCCAGCAAGTCTGCTGCGCACCTCCTGCCACCCTAAGCTGAGTTCATTGCTGCCATCCTCAGATGAAGCCACCACCATCCTGTGGTGAAGCCGCAGCCCTCCAACCAGTCATTGCAAGCCTTCAGAGAGAATGCCATCTTCATAAGAGTAATGACATAAAAATGACATTTTTCTATAAAAAACATGACATTCTCAAGTGTTAAAATATAAAATTTTAGATAAGAAATTATGTAATTTTTTAGATGAAAAATTCTGACATCATTTGGAAGACATGTCAAAAAACTTGTCTTTTCTAATAACAAATAGTTATGTCATTCTCAGATAAGCCATAAAAATGCCATAAGAATGACATTTTCTTATGAACGTATGACAGTTTCAGATTGTCATCCTGATAAAAAATACTGTCACAAACATGCCAGTTTTTTCAAATAACCAATATTTTGACATTCTCAGGTCAGAAAAGTGACATTTCTCAAAACAACATAAAAACCATAATTAAATAATTTGAATGTTTTAAAATAAATTAATCATAATTAATCTAAAATTGGAAATCAAAAGAAGAGAATAAAAAACAGAGGAGGTGTGAGCACGTCTAGATGAAAAGAGCCGAAGAAGAAAACAGAAGAAGAACAAAAAAGAAGAGAAGAAGAACAAGAAGAAGAATAAGGAAGAGGAGGAAGAGAAGGAAAAGGGAAGGAGAGTTACCTGACTTCATTGGAGGAATTGCAGATGTGAAGTGTGATTCCGTCAGAGGATTTGAATGGCTATCGCCAGAAATTGCATATGCCGTCAACTCGTCAAGTGCGGTTGGGCAGCAGTCCGTCTCTGATGGCGAAGAAGGAGATCGCAGCTCCCAAATCGGAAGATGCAGTAGCGTAGATCTAAAGTCTGAGGCGTTGATTTTGGGTTTAAGGAGGGGAAGGGCAAAAATGTAATGTGAAGTCCTATTTAGGAATAATAAACTTATATATACTCCTATTTTGGAATTTTGCTAATGTTTTAGTCTCATTTAGAACAATATATTTATTGTTTTTTATTATTTCTATAATTGTTGCACGGATGCACCTTATGCACGTCAGCACGTGAGCTAGATTATTTATTTAGATCTGTATATGATCTGTATATACAAATCATGAGCCCGTTTGGTAGCACGAAAATCGGCTGTTTTGGCTGATTCTGCTGAAATTTATGAAGTTCTGGCTGAAGTGGCTGCATTGGCTGATTCTGCTGATATAAGAAAAAAATCTTTTTAAAATATATTTTATTAATAAAATAAAGAAAAAATTATATGTAAAAATAGCTAAAATTGTCATCTACAGTAACTTCAGCCAATACAGCCAGAAAAGTAACTTCAACCTTACTTTTTCTGCTTATTACAAAATTCAGCGCGCGAAAGCAAAATTTACGTGTTTGGTGAAAAAGTTGGCTGATAAGCCTGATAAGCCGAAAATCATGGTTGCCAAACGGTCTCCATATTTACGTAGTTTAGCATAAACATTCTACAAACGTTCATAAAGATATTCTTTGGGTAAATTCATACGTAGGATCACAATTGAGTAGCCACACGACAAAAAATGGAAATGAGCATTTGAGAACTTAGCTACAAGGTGTAGTAATGAGAGCATGGATGAATTCAAAATTTTCTATTACATATGTAATATTTTCATAAAATTTTTATGCTTTAATTAG